AAAAAAAGACGTCCAGCCAGGATAAGGTGTTAAGGGCTTTACTAAAAATAACTAACTAAATAAATAAAAACCAAAACACCAGCATCTGATTTTGTCTTGAGACCTATTGGTCGAAGCTAGCATGGACTTCAATCAGTTAGCCGTGGAGACCGTTTCATCCTGACTCTGCGCCTCTTTATCGCACAAAGTGTATCCAACCTGATAAACATTCTTTTGATTTCAGCTAGATTAATTAATTAGATTAATTTTAATTAAAAATGTCAAATAAGAAGCAAGCCATACCTTAGCTTTGTTCTATGGTCTTCTTCTCTTCATGTTGCTGGGTAGACCTGTGAGACTCACTGCCGCCCCCTGCGTCTGGAAATACGACCGACAATCTTCCACTTCTTTTTAAACCGATTGCTATGTATGGAACGCAGAGTTATTATAGTTTTGCATTTTCTTATTAGTTTTACTTTATTTTTATTAGTCTTCCAGATGACTGGATGTTTAGTTGGTTCCAAAGAGCCTGAGGTGTGCCAAGAAAATATCCCCCACACCATGACTCCACCACCAGTCTGAACTGTTGACACAAGGCAGGATGGATTGATAAACGTATGATTACACAACATTTTCCATCCAAAATGTTGCATCAGAAATTAGGATCGGTCAGACCATGCAACGTTTTCCAACTGCTGTGATCCATGGAGCCTCAGTTTCCTGTTCTTAGCTGACAGGATTGGTACCTGGCGTGCTGCTCATCTGTGCATTCAGAGATGCTGTTCTGCATTCTTTGATTGTAACATTATATGAGTTGAGGTTGCTTTTCCTATCAGCTGGTCATTCTCTTTTAATCTCTGCCATGAACAAGGCAGAGACCTGTGGCTCACTTGATGTTTTCTATTTTTCAAACCATTCTCTGAGTAAACTTAATAGTAAATTTAAATTGAACAGTGTTGAGCTATACAAGGCTCTCTCAAATAAATGAAAACTAAAGTATTAATTTTAAAATGAGTATATTTTGTTGGGTAAGTAAACATAAATATGTCTGTTTAAGACTGATTGTTTTGGTCTTTTTTGAGTCTTTGTCAGTTACATTTTTAAGTACAGCAAATTAATTGTTCAGATATTTCATACTGGTCTAAAATTTGCACTTAGGAGCAAATATGAAACACTACCTTGCATACATCCATTTCCTTTAACTTTCCTCTCTGCTACATTCCCGATATGTATTAAAAGGTATTTATTTAACTAGTGTGACCAGGTCAAAGTGTAGAAAAGATATTAGATAGCTAAACTTCTATGTCAGTCATTTTTATATCAGTAAATTTACCAGGTGAGTGCTCAGATTTATCTTTAAATTACAATTATGCACTCCAGTAAAGGAAACCACATAACAAAAAAAGAAAAAAAGTGAAAATGAATTAGGCAGAGGGTATTTGCTTGCATATGACAAGCTTATATACAAGGCAACTTTTTTTTATTGTTGAACGACAAAGGATGCAACATAACAAACACCAAAGGCAAAATAAATCAGAGACATAACTGTCATATCAATCTGTAAATATGAAAAAAGGTTTATATGAATTGTTCCCAATTCATAAAAAACAACACTGAAAAAAGTGAATGAACACACATCAGACAAATTTCTATTCATGGCCAAGTTAATAAATGAGGGTATGAATTTCACATATAACTGTTCAAAAAAAAAAAAAAAGTTGAAAAAATACAGCTGCTTAACCTTGCTGTTAAAAGTTGTGCAAAGATAAAGTGCCATTTCTTTAGAAATTGAAAAAGAAAATCACCGTTCGCATGTTTTCTAGGAAAAATTATGTCTTGTTTCATTTGGCAATGCGATGGTCCACTCAGTCACTTTGCACAACTGTGCAGCAGATTAAAGATTACAAATTAGCACCAAACAGGTTAAATCTCCTCCTTATATCCTTGAGTCATTTATTTGCACGCTCACAAGCCAGTCTTCTTCCAAAGAGATGCAATGGCACATTCCTGGGGGTTGTGAATGCTATTCACAGTATTTTCACAGCATCCACTCTCTGTGGATATTTAGTCAGACTCATTCATGGCCTCTCTCCTCGCGCTCAGTTCCAAAAACCTAGCCTGTGCATGTTCCAGGCGTATGGAGCCTCTGTAGATCCACTCTCTGTGATGGTCAGCCTGAGTGAGACATAAAAAAAAGCAGACCGTCAAGGAAAGGTGATTAGGAAAAGAAACGGGAGTGTTGTTTGTTTGTTTTTTTTAGTTTTGGATTATTTAAACGTAGCCAAGGCAGATTTACACAGGAGATATGTTTTTAGGTTAAACATGCTGTCTGTATCTCATAATTTCAAACCCTCCTGAAATCCTGTGCCACAACCTGACAAGCACCTCTGTTAAATATATTTACAGAAGT